AAACAGGAAATGAAATTCAAACGTTCGCGGGTCTTTCCTGTCTACCTGGTCAGTGCATCTGAGTTGAGAGTGCTGTCCAGAGCGGTCACAATGAAGCACTGTGGGATAGCTCCTGGAGGCCAATAACGTTGAATTCTATCCACACTACCCCAATTCCGACCCGCAAAGGCCGATTTTATCACTAATCCCCTCGTCGAAGGTGGTGTAAAGAAACCGGTTTAAAGGGCCCTTTAAGTCGAAAGAAAGGGCTTCGTTGTGTGGACGTGTCCAGGCTTAATTCGATTTAACGCTGCTAAAGTCGACTTAAACCCGTAGTGTAGACCAGGCCTCAGTCTCTGGGACAGCCAAGCTGAAATTCTGTTCCCCTGGCACCTTCTCAGATGGTCCTTATATTCTTGTGTCAATACGACTGCCAGTCTGTGAGCACTAGTATCCATGTGAAATATGAAAGGGGTTTTGAAATACAAACAGGCTAAGAGAGGAGCAGTCACAAGGATCCCTTTCAGTTCTGTACATGCCAAATCACACTCTGTTGACCACTGAAATGGTTTTGATTTCTCAGTCTATGCAATGTTTCCCAATATTGGTGAACTCACAAATCAACTCTCTATAACAGCAGCAGAGCCCCACAAAACTCTGCCCATCTGTGAGTGTCTGGGGGAGATAGCCAGTTCTGCACAGCCTAATTTCCATTTTTTCACTTGAAATTCCTGCTTTTACCATTTGCTGTTTGTTAGAAACATTCAGTGAACAGACAGAAATCCCAAGAACTTTACCAACTAAAATTCCCCTGAGACTCTAGGTCTCAAAGCGGGTTTCAACCACTCCCCATCTTTCCCTTGCTGGAAAGCTAAAACAGCAAGCAGCTGTTGTCCAGGAGGCAGGAGGATAACTTGTTCACTGCAAATCCATTGTCCAGAAATAATTTGTTTCACCTGGGCCACACTTTTTGTTTTGGCATTTCTTATGCGGTTATTGGCTATAATGGAATCCAAACCACTTATTAGCTCATTTGCTATCTTGGCTACCCAGACTTCTTGCCCAATTCCAGAGATCTACTTTTCAAACCCAGTTTTCTCCATTTTTGGACAGGTGCCTGTTCCTCAGTCCCTGTCTCTATTTGAGACCATTTAGGTCTTTTTAGCATTCAATAGCTAAACTCCTTTTACTGTTGTTTAACTGCCAAGATGTAAACAAAGACTATAGGGCTGATCCTTGTACCTTCAAGCTTTGCCCCTTCAGCTTGATGTTCCCTCATTTGTCAACTAGGACTTTCACTAGGCATTTGTGATTCTCTATACTGTCAAGAGCTGGCCAGCTCAGACTGATGGCTGGCTCCACACTGCATGTCAAGAGCTTGTACCAAATCTGAACAATACAGTCTGTTTTCTGGAATAAATTCTGCAGCACCATCAGAGCTGGCCACTCAAGTTGGCTGCCAGAAAGCTGCCGCTCTCTTCATCTCTCCATCCATTCATTTAGGCTGTGATGTACAACTGAGCCAACTCCCCCCTTCCCCCAGAATTCCCCCCCTCAAAGATAACGGACATTTGTATTACTTGAGCTGGAACAAGCTGACCTCTCCCTGCTGGGTCTCTGTGGGTTACAAATGGGGGGGAAAGTATTGTAAAGTGTTCTGTCTTAGCCAAGTTCTCTGGCTGCCCTGATTCCTCAGTCAGGAAGCTGACATCCACAGGGGTCTGCAACACTTTTAATTCCTTCCCTAGGTTACTTTTTTGTTCCTTACATCCAGACTGGGAATTTTCTAGCTGCTGCTCCAACAAAGTTTTATTATTGAAGACTGCTGGTTATTCCTCAGTCCTTCCTAGGAAACCTCCAAATGTTGCTTTAATTACTTTTGAAATGTCTCTAGATCTTCCTTTAAGTCTTTTTAGTTCCTGCTGGGACATCTCCAGCTTTTGTTTTCATTTCTTTTGGCCAACGTTAAATCCCAGTTTGCTGTTGATTTGCTTTGATTTCTGGGAGCACCCTTATTATCTGTTCCCATCGGGGTCAGCAGGAATACCAGCTCACAATTTCTCTCTTTGGAAGCTCTCTCCTGCAACTAACACCAGTGTTGCCCCATTGGCATAAGCAGTTAGCCAATATTCAGGGCCTTGCCAGGTTGTTTCCATTAGGA